TTCGCTTTTATAAATTGTTCTTTTCTTTCTTTCTTTCTTTCTTCTTTTTTTTTGCATTAAATGATAAAAAAAATCTCGTTGTTGCTCTCGTACGTATGCGCTTTGTATAATAGTATATATAGATAGATAAATATATATATATATATGCTCGTTCGACGCATCGTCGCCATTTTGCTCGAACATATTTCAGTAACACTGGGGTCCCTACTTTCCGTTTAAAGTGCTAGAAGAACAGCCTAGATTCTCCCCTCCCCCTCGCTTGTACCGCTACTCGTCGTATCGTATTACTTTTATCGTAAAGAACTTGGACGATACAGGATGTCTGATAGAGAGAATCGATACGGGATTTATATGGCGGACAACAACGTTACATATTGGATTCGCGAGAGCACGTGGCCCGACGAAACCCATTCTTGGCTTGGTGGTTTTATACATATTGAGAAAAAAAAATCCTATAATTACAACATATATTCTTCTACTATAGTTGAACAATCGTTGAAAATGTCGAAAATATGTTGAAAAGGAAACGACCTCTACTTTTTTTTCAATGTATTCACACAAGACACCCTTCCAATTCACTTACCGTTCACGATCGGTGAAAAAAGAATTTCGATCGTTCAAAGGAAGAAAGAGACATAGGGATCTGACCAACAAAGTGTCCCCCCCCCCCATTGGTTCAAAATAAAAAAAGGTTCACATGCCGCGTTCTTTCCGCGACACGTCTCGATGGGCCAAGAAGGGAAGCGGAGCGGTCCCGTTCGAAACGATCGTGAAGAGAAAACGATCGGGAATCGAGGTCCCTCGATCTCTACCAGACATCCCGTACCTAAAGTACCGCTCTCATCATCATCGTCACCCATCATCGTCATCATCGCCCGAATTAATCGCAGTTTCCATCTATACATTTCGCTCGTATACACTTCTTTCATCTTTTGATCGTTTTTCTTTTCGTTTTTTTTTTTTTTCTCCACATACTTTTTTTTTGTATCCCCGTGAACGGATACCGCTTTAGGGAGTTTGGCCAGATACACAAAAAAAAAGAATCTGCGTAATGATCGTCGCATGCCGCGAGACTCCGTTCTTTCCCTCTTGCTGTGCCGCCGCATATGCATAATTAATCGGCCGCATGAATCCGCAAAAGAATCCGTCCCCAACAGACAATCCAATAAATGCAATCGAGTCGAAAAAAAAAAAAAGAACGGAAACACGTGTACGTACGTAAGCGCGTGCACGCAACCGCGCGTTATACAACCCCGCGCGAGCACCGTGCACGCGTGTACGTGTGTTTGTTCCGACAGGGCTCTGCTCGATATTCATTTGAACACATGAGAAAACAAAAGTTCGCACGAGTCGAAGAGTGGAAAATGTCAAGACGGAATATATATATATATATTAAAAGAAAAAAAAATAATAAATAAATGAATAAATAAATAAATGAACGGAGAAATAAAAAAAAAATATATATATATATAACGAAGAAAAAAATTTAGAAAAAAATTAGGTAAATAAAAAAAAAGAAAAATAAGAGGAACGTGTAAACAACAAATACAAAATGGACGCTTAAAACAAAGAACGATAGACTAGAAAAAAAATTCGAAAAAAAAAATATACATAGAATAAAACATGTTCGTTAAAAAAAAAAACAAAAAACAAAAGAGATCAACAAAATATAGAATGAGAAACTTTGCACAGAGACTTTGATCGTTTCAATATCAACCAGTAATAGGTAATCTATGTGAATTATTATTATTATCATCATCATCATCATCATCATCATTATCATCATCATCATCATCATTATCATTATCATTATTATTATTATTATATTATTATTATTATTATGATTATTATTATTATGATTATTATTATTATTATTATTATTATTATAATGAATTATTAAGGGCCTGCTGTTCTAGCACTGGAAAGTGGTACCTCCGGTGGGATCTGCGGACCGTTCTTTCTTCCTCTTCTTCTTCTTGCTGCCGTATCCGTAGTTATCCCTGGCACTCCAGCCGGGGTATCGTTGTTGATGGAGATGGCGCTCCTGCCTGGCCGCCTCATAATACCGCGCCTGCTCCTCCCGGCTTAGCGAGTGCCACTGCGTGTCATACCCCCAAAATTCAGATTCACAGATTCACAGTCTCACAGTACTTATCCGTGCACCGTGTGTTCCCTTTTTTTTTTTTATTTTTATACACGTCCCATTTTTTTTTTTTATTATTTTATTACGTGTACATTTTTTTTCCGATACTTTATTATTTTTATCGTAAGAAAATTTATCATCCCATTACTTTTTTTTTTTTTTTCTTTATTATTATTATTACTCTTTAGAGACTCGTTTTACCCTCACCGAGTGGATGTATACACCAAGAGAGAGGAGGAGTCTTTTTATTTCTATTTTTATTATTATTATTATTATTATTATTATTATTATCGTCATTCTTTTTTTTTTTTTTTAAATAATCCCGACCCCGTTTCGCTTGACCCCGTCCCCTAAGAAAACAATCCCCGTTATTTATCATGGACAGAGACACTTCCATAGATCCCACCTACGATGCTCTCTCTCTCTCTCTCTCTCTCTCTTTCTCTCTCTCTCTTTCTCTCCCTCTCTTTCTCTCTACTCTATTCTATTCTATCTATCTAAATCGTATTGAGTTTAACTAGCAGGTACGGTTAGTGCTTCGATATTTTTTTTTTTTTTTTTAATCAATCTCGCGGATCAACGAAAGAGTTAACAAAACGCATGCAATTTTTTCATTTTTTTTTTTTCTTTTTTCCCCTTTTCTTTTTTCCCCATCAGCGTTTTTTCGATCGTCCTTCGAGACACTTTTCGTGTTCGAGGGTGCATTCTGATCGTTTTGCGCCCGCCAAGTCAACATTTTGCTTTCGGATCAATACGATTTCGTATTTTTTCCTTTATTATTCACAGCAATGTTTAATCTTTTGGTTTGGAAAATTCCGTCTCTCTGTTTTTTCTTCTCGTTTCTACGATACTTGATTTTCGTTACGTTTTCATGATAATTTTTCGACGATACATTTTCATTAAAATCCGTTATTATTCACAGACGGGGGAGGATCGTTCGAAAAGAAAATCTTGACTTTGGCGCGCTTCTTTCTTTTACATCAGGGCTCGTTCGAATACACTTTTCAAGTATTTCCATTGCTATTAACGATATAATGGAAGATGTTTTAGGAATTAATTGTTGCTCTGAAAATTTTCTCACACTTTCTTAGTCGATTTATTTTATGTACTCTTGAAATTCAGAAAAAAAAAAAAGAAAAAAGAAAAAAGAAATGGAAACGAATCTCAATCGCACGATTTGCTCCTGAAACATTTCATCATAGTTAATAGCAATAGAAAGAATAGTTTTATATAATGAAATTATATAAAATTCGTGGTACAAGTAGCAGAGAGATTATTCCACGATTCAAAATGATCAAACAACTTTTTGTCGTATGGAGCTTTATCTTATAAAAGAATTTTATTATAAAGTATTATATGTTTCTGTATATGATATATAATTTCTAGTTATATCTATTATTAGAATTCTATTATTAAATTTTCCATACATTTTTCACGATAAACTAAATTCAAAATCATAAAATCCACATTGTTTGTGAATTCTTAATCCACAGTAAGAATATCATGAATTTATAATTATAAAAAGATCAAGATCATCATCGTTTCATTTCTTTCTAGAAATCGACAGAATCGACAATTATAATAACAATCTTTGATATTGTGTATCACGAATCGTACGAAAGTATCAATCAAGAACATTCTCCTAGAAAACATCAGGCTCCTTACGTCAAAAAGAATTATCTCATTTTTTTTCTTTATACCTATACCACGAACAATGCGATGCCAAACACGGTCCTGTACACAAACAACCATGATCCCAACTAAAACTCAATCAGAATCAGATCAGACAAATACATAATGACATATACATATTTCATAATCAAATCAATAATCTTTGTCTAATAAAAAATCGTACAAACCCTGATGCAATATAGCAGTTTCTCCAACGTTACACAAGAACACTTCTAAACGAAATGTATATAATGTTTTCCATCTACTCACTCGTCTTCCCAATATTTGGTTGATCGCGGCGCTCTCTTTTAAGGTACACTCCGCGACGACCTTCGCCCTCATCTCCTTCATGTACAGCATGAACGCGTTCAAAGGCTTTTTTATATGGGGTTTCTTTTTATCTGTCAAACATCATCGACGGGTATGAGAGGTGGACTCTACAGGTGTGAAAATCAACGGTAAACTGATCACAGAAGCCGTCAGGTCCGTTAAACGAGCCCTTACCTTGATTGTTCTGCTGCCCCGTGTCCTGTGCTTTCGCGTTGTCCGACGGCAACGACGTGGAATTCTTCTGCTCCACCGTGGACCTGCCAACACAGAAAAAAACGACCACATCCACAAATTCAGAATTTTCATCTTTTTAATTCACCGACACGACAAGATATCCCAACAAGAGTCTCTAAGTCCCTGATCTGAAGCTAAGCTCTGATCCTACGTTTACGTTACCGTTTGAAGTAAGGCTGCTTCGCGTCACGGTTCGTCAAGGGTTGTTGGTCGGGTTGTTTCGTGCAGGATAGGGGATAGGTCGGCGCGGAGCTCTGGGTGTTGCACAGTTGCTCCGTCAGGTTGGTGGTCGGCCCGTCGAAGTACGGTTGGCGGGCAAGGTCAACGGGTTCCTGGGGAAGTTGTGCGGCAACGGCCAATTCATCTGTTGCCACATGCGGTGCCTGGCCTCGACCATTGCGAGCAGTTGCACGAAGTTGTGCTGGGCGCCGTACGGAGGCGGCGTCACGCTCCTCGGCAGGCTCATGTTCGACATCTGCATCAGGCTGCTCATGTAGAGCGCGGTGAGGATCTTGTGATCGGCGGTGGGTAAGCCAGCCTCCCCCGCCTTCATCGCGTCCTGGAGTATCGTCATGTTGTCCTCGATCGTCTTGCCCGGATCGATATTGCACTTCTCCTCGTCCAACGACGATCTGTTGTTGATCGACGATGCCTCGCTGCTGCCCTCCTCGATCGTCACGTTGGTGGCCGGCCCGCTGCTCTCAGTGTTGTCGTCCTTCTTTATCACCAGGTTCAATGGCTCCAGACACTCGGGCTCCATCGCACTCGTGGGTCCCCGTTTATACCCACCGACACGCTCGAAACTGATCCATCGAAACCGCGAGCGTCGTCTCGCTTCTCTATTCCCTCTCTGTATATGTATTCTCTCTCTCTCTCTCTCTCCCTCCTATCCTATCCTCCCTCGTCTATTCGTCTATTCGAGTTCTCGCGTGCCAAGTATCCCGTGAACGTTCACCACGCAGTGATCGACGGAAAGGTATCGGTTCGCGATCCTTGCCCGATTCATCGATTCGCCAGTGTGCCAAGCATCGTCGTAGCACGAGCACGTTGCCTCGCGTAACACGGGATCGAGAAGGTGGAAAATATCATCGGTGGCCACGTCGTAGCAGCTTCGCGGTGCGGCTTCGCTATTCATCATCCTTGCATCCCCTATGTGCTCGATCATCGAGGAGCGGTCGAAAACTGGCGACGTGTGTTGTAAACAGCGCACAAGGGTGTCGAGCAAGAGCGAAGCGAAGGACGCCGCTCGAGACTACACGACGACGGTGGCCGCGTCGACCCGGAAGCACTCGAGGAAACACTTTTCACGCCACGTCCCGTCCATCCGTGTCTGCACCGTGTCGCGTATCACCGTCGATCTTCTCAACAGCTCCATATCGTGGACGGTATTCAAACATTCATGAGCGTCGAATCGCACGGTAAAATGTCTCCAGGGGCGGCATCTCGTTCACGGGCCCGCCGCTCTTCTCTCTCTCTCTCTCTTTGTTCCACCACCAAAAAAATACGAGACAAGAAGCTGACGACAATTATCCCTCTCTCTCTCTCTCTCTCTCTT